TCAACAGATGCAATGTTTCTCAACTTAATTTCGAGTTCGATTTCCCACATTGGTACAATGTGTGAAGCCTATTTCTGGTGTCCCCTGCCGTGATATTGCTGGAATATTGCTAAAAGCGGCGTAAGCAGCCCTACCTGCTCACTCACTCTTAACTTGATTAAGACGTATTGCAAAGATCTAACTAGTTGATGTTTGCACATATTCAGTTATTGTTTGAATTGGGAGCATGCATTTACCCAATCACTCACTAAATATGGATTAACTCTAAGATTAGAGAAGTTGCAAGATTAGTTAGTACATGCTGAAATCATGTAAATGAAATTTAACCTTCTTCCTCATTTGATGTTTATATGCAGGCCGATATACAAACTTTCATGCCGAGATTAGTTTCTTTGTATACAGCTGCCAGAACCATTGCATAATTTTGGCTAGAAATTAAAATTATACAAAATTAGTAGGTCCTTAAAGCCAACAACAGGACGTTGGTCTTCTCGTAATGTTAAGAAATAGTCATTTCACCTTCGTACTTAAAAGTTGATTAATGAAGTATTCCCTACAAGTGCCAGATTGTGGTTATGTGTTAAGCCCACTGTCTTTTCATTCGTGGAGGCAGTCGTCATGTGTGTCACGTGACGAGCACCTCCATGACTGTCATGAGTTGGTGAGTGCATGCTGATGTCATGTAACACAGAGCAAGGCCAATGTACTGTTCAGCTAGGGTGACGAAATAGCTGATGTATGAATAAATAGGTTGTCACTTTTATGGCTTAATTAAAATACACATTACGACTAAGTTCGGTTGACAATGCCGACATATTAAAAATGTAATAAATGAATGCTCAGATTACGAAATATTAAATTGAACATGTATTCCAAATACAAACACTTGCTGGTACTTTGTAGGAAAGGAACAGACATATTATTGAACATCTCGATCCCACTAGAACCTACTATTGTAAGGAGACGCAACCAGATCTGTTTCCTGATTGAAAACAACGTGAGTGGATGGTATGGGTTTATTGTCGCTACACAACAGTTCAGTCGGGGTGTCAGCTGAATGAACAGTTAAGGAAATTGAGCACTACGTGACACTGGCCGTGGACATTCACCGCTATCGACCTGTGTGTTGCCCTTGGTGAGCGAGGGGAGGTCGGGGAGCCTAGTGGTTGACGCCGAAGACCCCGGTTCGATTCCCGACATCGGTACAATGTGTGAAAGACCATTTCTGGTGCCCCCCGCCGTGATATTGCTGGAATATCCCTTGGTGAGCTAGTACTCGGTACCAACTCTGGGTCTGGGTGTCAAAAGAAATGCCCCATTCGATGAACCATTGTGAACAAGTATGCCAACAAGATTAACCATTGTGAACATGCATGTCACCACCGTGAACCATTGCGAACATGTATGTTACCAAGGTAAACCATTTGTAACATGTATGTAACCAAAGTTAACCACTGCGAACATGTATGTTACCAAGATGAACCACTGTGAACATGTATATCACCAAGATGAACCATTAGTAACATGTATGTTACCAAGATGAAACATTAGTAACATGTATGTTACCAAGATGAACCATTAGTAACATGTATGTCACCAAGTTGAACCACTGTGAACATGTATATCACCAAGATGAACCATTAGTAACATGTATGTCACCAATATGAACCATTAGTAACATGTATGTCACCAAGATGAACCACTGTGAACATGTATGTCGCGAAGATGAACCATTAGTAACATATATGTCACCAAGATGAATCATTAGTAACATGTATGTTACCAAGATGAAACATTAGTAATATGTATGTCACCAAGATGAGTCATTATTAACATGTATGTCACCAAGATGAGTCATTATTAACATGTATGTCACCAAGATGAACCATTAGTAACATGTATGTCACCAAGATGAACCATTAGTAACATGTATGTTACCAAGATGAAACATTAGTAATATGTATGTCACCAAGATGAACCATTAGTAATATGTATGTCACCAAGTTGAACCATTAGTAACATGTATGTCGCGAAGATGAACCATTAGTAACATGTAGGTCACCAAGATGAATCATTAGTAACATGTATGTCACCAAGATGAACCATTAGTCACATGTATGTCACCAAGATGAACCATTAGTAACATGTAGGTCACCAAGATGAAACATTAGTAACATGTAGGTCACCAAGATGAACCATTAGTAACATGTATGTCACCAAGATGAAACATTAGTAACATGTATGTCACCAAGATGAACCATTAGTCACATGTAGGTCACCAAGATGAAACATTAGTCACATGTATGTCACCAAGATGAACCATTAGTAACATGTAGGTCACCAAGATGAAACATTAGTAACATGTAGGTCACCAAGATGAACCATTAGTAACATGTAGGTCACCAAGATGAACCATTAGTAACATGTAGGTCACCAAGATGAACCATTAGTCACATGTATGTCACCAAGATGAACCATTAGTAACATGTATGTCACTAAGATAAACCAATGTGAACATGTATATCACTAAGATGAACCATTAGTAAAATGTATGTCACCATGATGAACCATTAGTAACACATATGTCACCAAGATGAACCATTAGTAACAGGTATGTCACCAAGATGAACTATTAGTAACATGTATGTCACCAAGATGAACCATTAGTAACATGTATGTCACCAAGATGAATCATTAGTAACATGTAGGTGACCAAGATGAACCATTAGTAACATGTATGTCACCAAGATGAACTATTAGTAACATGTATGTCACCAAGATGAACCATTAGTAACATGTATGTCACCAAGATGAAACATTAGTAACATGTATGTCACCAAGATGAACCATTAGTAACATGTATGTCACCAAGATGAATCATTAGTAACATGTATGTCACCAAGATGAACCATTAGTAACATGTATGTCACCAAGATGAACCATTAGTAACATGTATGTCACCAAGATGAACCATTAGTAACATGTATGTCACCAAGATGAAACATTAGTAACATGTATGTCACCAAGATGAACCATTAGTAACATGTATGTCACCAAGATGAACCATTAGTAACATGTATGTCACCAAGATGAACCATTAGTAACATGTATGTCACCAAGATGAACCATTAGTAACATGTATGTCACCAAGATGAACCATTAGTAACATGTATGTCACCAAGATAAACCATTAGTAACATGTATGTCACCAAGATGAAACATTAGTAACATGTATGTCACCAAGATGAACCATTAGTAACATGTATGTCACCAAGATGAAACATTAGTAACATGTATGTCACCAAGATGAACCATTAGTATCATGTAGGTCACCAAGATGAACCATTAGTAATATGTATGTCATCAAGAGGAACCATTGCGAACATGTATGTCACCAAGATGAACCATTAGTAACATGTATGTCACCAAGATGAACCATTAGTAACATGTATGTCACCAAGATGAACCACTGTGAACATGTATGTCACCAAGATGAACCATTAGTAACATGTAGGTCACCAAGATGAACCATTAGCAACATGTATGTCACCAAGATGAATCATTAGTAACATGTATGTCACCAAGATGAACCATTAGTAACATGTATGTCACCAAGATGAACCATTGCGAACATGTATGTCACCAAGATGAACCATTGCGAACATGTATGTCATCAAGAGGAACCATTGCGAACATGTATGTCACCAAGATGAACCATTGCGAACATGTATGTCATCAAGAGGAACCATTGCGAACATGTATGTCATCAAGAGGAACCATTGCGAACATGTATGTCATCAAGAGGAACCATTGCGAACATGTATGCCCCCTGGGCCGAAATATTGTGAGCAAACATGTCCCCAAAATGAAACACACCTAAAGTGATTAGTGTACATCCGAGAATACAGTCAAAACAAATGTGCAGTTTAATTCTTTGAAATAGTCATAGAAAAAGCCTTCTTGAATTACCTGAAAAGTTATCAACAACAGACGCCAAAGACGGCACTGAGTCGTCATGGATCGGGTGACTTGGTTGATTTATATACATAATAATATAATAAGATTCAAACAATTTCCTCAATATTCCACGGTCTTAAACTCGTTACTCCCACACTTCCCACACAGCTTGCTCACGTTAGCAAAACGTTACGAGGCTGAACAGTCGCCGAAACAGTGCAAAATGAGTGAGTGAGTGAGTTGGGTTTAACGCCGTTTTAACAGTATTCCAGTTATATCACGGCGTGTCAGCTTAATGTGGGAGGAAAGCCGAAAGTGATGCAGATCTCAGACGTTTACCTCTTCAGTGAAACCCACGAGCACGGGTATGGTGCTGACAAATCTAGAAACATAATGGGGGCGAACCGGGATTCGAACCCACAATCATAGGTTTCTGGCGTACCCAAGGGACGCATAGCTGCACAGCGAATCGCGGCGCCTTGGACGACTGGGCCGCCCGTGCCCCAAGTGCAAAATGAAGGTCCAAAACAGAACTATGATACCCCTATCAGATCCATCGCCATCGAATAACAATATCTTGATTGTTTCATTTTTAGCCACCGTCAAACATTGGTCTATTCCTCTTTTGCCAGGTACTTTAGGACGAATATGTCAATGTGCAAGTATCTTCCCATGTCCACAATTACCCGTTTCAGGTTCCCGTACTCAAAGTAATGATTTGGTCAAAAGGGTTACGTTGTTTCAAAACATCGTACAATATAAGTTCGTGTTGAAGTGGCAATTAGCACAATCTTGTTCTCCTATATTGTCATCTAAATGCCATATCTAAACGGCAGTTATTGAATAATGGTTTACGCGATATAACATTTTAGGTAGACCTATGACGTATAACACGATATATGAAAAAACCTTACACGTCATACGACCTGCCACAAAAATATCATTGAATCTCAGAATGATGTAATTTCTACAGCCAATGGCTTTACGACCTATCAGCGGACAGAGTGCCGAGTTATCTCATATCCCTCCGCGGTGCGAGAAGGCCCAGAATTGATGTGTCCTTGTCTCCGCTAATCACACCTGTGACAGGTAACACGGAGTAGGCGGAACACAATGTACATAAGAAACAAGCCGAGCCTTTGGGAACAGTTGCCGAACAGACAGCGGAACTGACGAGAGTAACCGTTACCATCTAAAGAAGGCTTTTTCATAACAGGGGAAGTATGGCGATTTTTTGTTGACGGATAAAGATGCGATTTGCGTCAGCTGATTTTATTAAGCGAAATATACTCTGAGGTAACAAGGACGTTCCTGCCTTACACCCCGGAATAAAACGTTTTCAATCAGTACATCGTCAAGCCAATAGAAGGTTCTTCCAGACAAGACACTCGCTATAAAGAGAGTGAACCTCAGGTCCAGGGACATACAAGACACTCGCCATAAAGAGACTAAACCTCAGGTCCTGTGACATACAAGACAAGAGTACTGGGACAATGGTATGTAGTCGATGGTGTGTCGGTTTTGTGTCGGTGGAGGTATTTCTTTGACATATAACCGTAGATCTGATTGATTTATTTCATTCTTACAATGCATTTAACCATTTAAAATTGTCCACATTGCCTGAGTATGGTCGTTGTAACCCTAACCTTGAAGTGGCATGTGTCCCCTAAGACATGGCATACATGGTGTTTCGCGTGATTCAGATATAGAAATTGTTAGACTGTGATTAGTAAGTGTTATTTCTATGTCTGTGTACGTATTTCCAATAAGCGTCAAACGACAACAGTTCCACTTCCAGTTGCAGATACACGTAGCAGGAAATAATGTGGTTGTAATTGCCTTCCGTCACGTGTCTTAATTCTGTAAAAAACAACTCATAATTCTACTGTTTCTTCTGTTTCTATTGCACATTGCAATGAACTGCACGCCAAATTACAGGCTCGACAGAATAAGTGGCATTAACTGATCCCTACAATCCCGGCGTGTGTTATCCGTCTGTTATTACCGCCATGTTATCCTGTGTCGTACTTAGACAAACGATAACACGGACGTCACTCCGCTACAGCTGTCTGTGGACGTGCGTCACCTATCTGATGGTCACATATGTTAAGGTACTTTGTTCCTCGAACAGGGCCACCTTCACTTCGTACCCAGCCCTGGTGCAGCATTTATAGAAATAGTTCCGTCTCTTTATGACCAGATTAATAGTTTCTTTTTGATACGGAGACAGGTGACAAGTTTACGTCCATCATTTTGTAATATATAACCAAAACCGGAACACTAGGATGTTCTCGCTTGTCATTTATGAAATTTCATATTTCCCTGAAGAAACATGTTTGTATATTTAAGAGACGTGACGAAATCGCAAATGTACAAGGTCATGTCAGAATATAACTGCATAATATTAACTGGGGCACTACTTAACAGAGCAAGATCGTTTCTAAATAAAAGAGCTAGATAAAGTGCCCAGACTGTTCAACCCTTGCTTTGCCCTGGCTGTCTTGGTGTTTCCTGCGCGGACACATGACAATGTTTCTAACCATAGATTGCTCAAATGGTGAACCCCACAACACTTCATGAATTGTTCAGATATAGGTGTTCATAACCACAGTTATACCAAACGTCTTCCACCATCAACTGCCAGTGGCTGCTAATGTCTGTTGTACCACCGGCCGGCCTGAAGCGTAATCCAAGCCTCTCCGAAGCCGCGTATAACAACGCGTCCGCCGACAGTTTACAAACCTGTAGTTGACAAATCTCTTTCTTCTTGAAACCTGAGCAGCTTTATTTTCTAGGTTTATCAAAACGTGTTTCTTAGAATGACACGAACACTTCAAACAAATGCTAATGCTTGACGATGTCACGTGCACTTTCAACTTCTTTTGAACGAAATGCAATCCACATCACCTCAACTTCTTAACTAAACTTAGTTGTGCGAAAACTTTAACTCTGTCATAAACAGCTCTCTATCGTGTTCATAAGACACTATCGCACTATCACTCGTATATCCTGATATATTTGTTTGTTGTTAGGTGCGAGGTAAGGTGAAATGGTTTGTTTGTTTGTTTGTTCTTTGACGCTGCACCCAGCAATAATCCAGCTACGCGGTCTGTAAATAATCGAGTCTGGACCAGACAATCCAGTGCTTGACATCATGAGCATCGATCTGCACAATTGGGATACGATGACATGCAACCAAGTCAGCACGTCTGACCACCCGATACCGTTAGTCGCCTCTAAAGACAAGCATAGCCGCCCCATAAGATAAGCAAGGGTTTTTGAAGACCTATTCTAACCCGGATCCTGATAAGTGTATTAGTGAATCGTGACTATTGTATATTAGTCGTACATACTCTAATACCCTGTAACTTAAGGTAACCTGGAGTCTTTTCTGAACCATATATAACGGTGCATATTATATGTGTAAAATGATATTTATCTAAAAAAAAAAACAGCGGTCAAAATCACGGCGAAAACATTGGGACCATAGTACTGGGATTACGGCTGTTAGCTATTCGTCTGAATTTAAATGATCTTTTGAATAAAAAAGCTGACATTGGTAACTGCATCCTGAAGCAACGGCATTTCGCATGTGCAGTTTCATGTAATCAGCATTATAACTATGTTAATATAGTGGCTTATAATATTAGCCCGCATGGTGGCTACATGTATGTACTGGCTTGTACATATCGTCCAACATTGATATCCCGGTGGTCATTGCTGAAGTAATTAACTCAACTGATCTCAACGAGACACACCGCCTCGAATACGGCGTAGAACAATACTTCACTTACTCACATCTGTACTATGAATATTGCTCGGTTAAACTTTATACCAGACTGTAAAGGGGCATGGGAAGGTCCCTTTAAATGATGTAGACTTCACCCAGAAAGGCATATGCACAAATACGTATTTTTGCTAAATTGCACGCGAAGTAAACCTGCATCATCATGCTGAGAAAGCATTTTCTTGCTATTCATCATGAGGCAACATGTAGTTTATTATCAAGCCCACTTGCTTCCGAGAGTAGCTTTGTTTGACGGATGGCTTGACAGATGCACACCGCACAACCAGGCGGAACCATTCTCTTACTGGGCCATAGCAGCCCTAGGCTTACATGGCTGACCGACATGACCCTATGGGGTGGTCGAGTGTATTACAGGGCCATAGCAGCCCTAGGCTTACATGGCTGACCGACATGACCCTATGGGGTGGTCGAGTGTGTTACAGGGCCATAGCCTCCCTATTCTTACATGGCTGACCGACATGACCCTATGGGGTGGTCGAGTGTGTTACAGGGCCATAGCGTCCCTAGGCTTACATGGCTGACCGACATGACCCTATAGGGTGGTCGAGTGTATTACATGGCCATAGCAACTCTAGGCTTACACGGCTGACCGACATGACCCTACTGGGTGGTCGAGTGTGTTACAGGGTCATAGCAGCCCTAGGCTTACATGGCTGACCGACATGACGCTATGGGGTGGTCGAGTGTGTTACAGGGCCATAGCAACTCTAGGCTTACATGGCTGACCGACATGACCCTACTGGGTGGTCGAGTGTGTTACAGGGTCATAGCAGCCCTAGGCTTACATGGCTGACCGACATGACCCTATGGGGTGGTCGAGTGTGTTACAGGGCCATAGCGTCCCTAGGCTTACATGGCTGACCGACATGACGCTATGGGGTGGTCGAGTGTGTTACAGGGCCATAGCGTCCCTATTCTTACATGGCTGACCGACATGACCCTATGGGGTGGTCGAGTGTGTTACAGGGCCATAGTAACTCTAGGCTTACACCGACATGACCCTATGGGTGGTCGAGTGTGTTACAGGGCCATAGCGTCCCTATTCTTACATGGCTGACCGACATGACCCTATGGGGTGGTCGAGTGTGTTACAGGGCCATAGCAGCTCTAGGCTTACACCGACATGACCCTATGGGTGGTCGAGTGTGTTCCAGGGCCATAGCGTCCCTATTCTTACATGGCTGACCGACATGACCCTATAGGGTGGTCGAGTGTGTTACAGGGCCATAGTAACTCTAGGCTTACACCGACATGACCCTATGGGTGGTCGAGTGTGTAACAGGGCCATAGCGTCCCTATTCTTACATGGCTGACCGACATGACCCTATGGGGTGGTCGAGTGTGTTACAGGGCCATAGCAGCTCTAGGCTTACATGGCTGACCGACATGACCCTATGGGGTGGTCGAGTGTGTTACAGGGCCATAGTAACTCTAGGCTTACACCGACATGACCCTATGGGTGGTCGAGTGTGTTACAGGGCCATAGCGTCCCTAGGCTTACATGGCTGACCGACATGACCCTATAGGGTGGTCGAGTGTGTTACAGGGCCAATATTAACTCTAGGCTTACACCGACATGACCCTATGGGTGGTCGAGTGTGTTACAGGGCCATAGCGTCCCTAGGCTTACATGGCTGACCGACATGACCCTATGGGGTGGTCGAGTGTGTTACAGGGCCATAGCGTCCCTATTCTTACATGGCTGACCGACATGACCCTATGGGGTGGTCGAGTGTGTTACAGGGCCATAGCAGCTCTAGGCTTACATGGCTGACCGACATGACCCTATGGGGTGGTCGAGTGTGTTACAGGGCCATAGCAACTCTAGGCTTACATGGCTGACCGACATGACCCTATAGGGTGGTCGAGTGTGTTACAGGGCCATAGTAACTCCAGGCTTACACCGACATGACGCTATAGGGTGGTCGAGTGTGTTACAAGGCCAAGCAATTCTAGGCCTACATAGCTGACCGACATGACGCTATAGGGTGGTCGAGTGTGTTACAGGGCCATAGCAACTTTAGGCTTACATGGCTGACCGACATGACCCTATAGGGTGGTCGAGTGTATTACATGGCCATAGCAACTCTAGGCTTACACGGCTGACCGACATGACCCTACTGGGTGGTCGAGTGTGTTACAGGGCCATAGCAACTCTAGGCTTACATGGCTGACCGACATGACCCTACTGGGTGGTCGAGTGTGTTACAGGGTCATAGCAGCCCTAGGCTTACATGGCTGACCGACATGACCCTATGGGGTGGTCGAGTGTGTTACAGGGCCATAGCGTCCCTATTCTTACATGGCTGACCGACATGACCCTATGGGGTGGTCGAGTGTGTTACAGGGCCATAGCGTCCCTATTCTTACATGGCTGACCGACATGACCCTATGGGGTGGTCGAGTGTGGTACAGGGCCATAGCGACCCTAGGCTTACATGGCTGACCAACATGACCCTATAGGGTGGTCGAGTGTGTTACAGGGCCATAGTAACTCTAGGCTTACACCGACATGACCCTATTGGTGGTCGAGTGTGTTACAGGGCCATAGCGTCCCTATTCTTACATGGCTGACCGACATGACCCTATGGGGTGGTCGAGTGTGTTACAGGGCCATAGCAGCTCTAGGCTTACACCGACATGACCCTATAGGGTGGTCGAGTGTGTTCCAGGGCCATAGCGTCCCTATTCTTACATGGCTGACCGACATGACCCTATAGGGTGGTCGAGTGTGTTACAGGGCCATAGTAACTCTAGGCTTACACCGACATGACCCTATGGGTGGTCGAGTGTGTTACAGGGCCATAACGTCCCTATTCTTACATGGCTGACCGACATGACCCTATAGGGTGGTCGAGTGTGTTACAGGGCCATAGCAGCTCTAGGCTTACATGGCTGACCGACATGACCCTATGGGGTGGTCGAGTGTGTTACAGGGCCATAGTAACTCTAGGCTTACACCGACATGACCCTATGGGTTGTCGAGTGTGTTACAGGGCCATAGCGTCCCTAGGCTTACATGGCTGACCGACATGACCCTATAGGGTGGTCGAGTGTGTTACAGGGCCATAGTAACTCTAGGCTTACACCGACTTGACCCTATGGGTGGTCGAATGTGTTACAGGGCCATAGCGTCCCTAGGCTTACATGGCTGACCGACATGACCCTATGGGGTGGTCGAGTGTGTTACAGGGCCATAGCGTCCCTATTCTTACATGGCTGACCGACATGACCCTGTAGGGTGGTCGAGTGTGTTACAGGGCCATAGTAACTCTAGGCTTACACCGACATGACCCTATGGGTGGTCGAGTGTGTTACAGGGCCATAGCGTCCCTATTCTTACATGGCTGACCGACATGACCCTATGGGGTGGTCGAGTGTGTTACAGGGCCATAGCAGCTCTAGGCTTACATGGCTGACCGACATGACCCTATGGGGTGGTCGAGTGTGTTACAGGGCCATAGCAACTCTAGGCTTACATGGCTGACCGACATGACCCTATAGGGTGGTCGAGTGTGTTACAGGGCCATAGTAACTCTAGGCTTACACCGACATGACGCTATAGGGTGGTCGAGTGTGTTACAAGGCCAAGCAATTCTAGGCCTACATAGCTGACCGACATGACGCTATAGTGTGGTCGAGTGTGTTACAGGGCCATAGCAACTTTAGGCTTACATGGCTGACCGACATGACCCTATAGGGTGGTCGAGTGTGCTACAAGGCCATAGTAACTCTAGTCTTACATGGCTGACCGACATGACGCTATAGGGTGGTCGAGTGTGTTACAAGGCCAGGGCGTCCCTGGGCTCACACGGCTGACCGACATGACGCTATGAGATGGTCGAGTGTGTCAGTAGGACTACCTCCGGGCAGTGGGACGTCAGGAACTACAGCCACATCAACTGTCACACCCTCAACATCACGTCGGCAACAATGCCCCTTATTGTCAGCAACTGCCTAGGGCGAGATAGACCATATACGCCCATAGATTAAATGGCCGAGATTTATGTTGTCCACTGACGTCGGTAGAGGTTACTACAACCAAATGTTTTCCCATAGACTTCTATAGTAACCTTATTTTTTTTTAAAAATAACTAAGCATTCAACAGCCATTACCTGTACATGTGTGCTCAGTTTGGCCTTAGAGCAACAATAATAACAAAAATAATAACTAGCTTAGACAGCTCTTTTTCCGAGTACAGAAATCTCAACACACCACCCCCAGTTCCGCACCAAATGCCTTTTGCTTGAAAATATCTGTGGTCATATTCAGCATAAGTCATCATGTTATAAAAAAAACCCTCTAAACGTGGTCAGTTTTAATTACTGGATGGATGTACATTTCAAAAACATCAAAATCTTACACAAAATCATCCAATCACAGCTGCCAGAGGATTCAACCGGCACTGAAGAAAACTGCTTGTTGAACGACTCATTCTCTTGTGAAGTAGTAGATCTAGAGTAAAGTAGAAGTATTTAAAGGAGGTCGTCAGTTTGCTGTTAATGGTACTATAGAGTCAGTGTCCAGCCCATACACTATCTCAGCTTGGAATTGTGGCTGCTTCTGTATTTCGACATATAGTGAAACAATAAATGTAAATAAGTTTACAAACAAATAACTGTTATCTAGTTTCTGGGTTACTGTATCTAGCATACTATTACACGTTATTAGAATGTCCGGGAATGACCATTTTTATAGAAGAGTACTTGTCAGGTTGATCACGTCATTGGCAAGGCGCTGAACTGAACACACCCTCTTCGAAGCAACTATGTGTTAAATGAGTACAATTTCAATTGCAGATGCCACCACAATTCTCGTTCCTCGCCACACTACTCTGCATCACTGCACACGTCCCTTGGGCAGTCTCCATGTACTACAACTGGCAACCTCTGCGCCCGCAGGTCATGAGGTCACCATTTCAACCGTTCAGCCAATCAATGATGAACCTCAACAACGCGTGCTCCATGCAGCGTCCTAGTGATGTTCTGCGCATGCTCCCAGGTCGCTTCCTGTCAGACGATGACCTGCTGAGTATGGTGCCGGAACCTCATATCCTGTCACGCACTCGCAGACCGACATTCACCGCTCTGAGGCGTGTGATTATGGGGTCGTTCAGCTCCAACTCCCCCTTTAAGACGGGCAACGTCAGCTACATCAATGACGGACTCTGCGGCTGTTGTCTAACGTACGTACCCACTGAGTGAGTGAGTGAGTGAGTGAGTGGGGGTGAACTTCTTCTTTATCAATTTTACAATAATATCACGATAGGTACACAAGAAATGGGCTTCACACATTTTACCTAAATGGGAAATGCTCTACCGCTCCTATAAGCTGTGAAGCTACACTGGTCTATGGTTAAACATAATTAAGATTATATTAATATGATTTTAGATGTGATTGTTTAGCTGAGACTGTTTGTCTTACGTTGACAGTGAAATCGGTTACGAGGTGATAGAGACGGTGACTGATTTCCAGGGCAGGAACCACACCCTCATCAACTTCAACAATAACTTCCAGTTCATCCCAACTGGCAGATGCTCGTAAGTAGTCTAATGTAGCGGCGGGATAATGAAGCTGCAGTATTACATCCTCGATTACCAAGTACATTGTATCGCCAGTCTGTTTGTTCCACATACCCTGGGCTGACCCAAACTGTGTGAGTGAGAGATGGAGATGAGGACGTCATTTCCCAAGCGATGCGATGATAGCAGAGCTTCGAATGATACTTATCTTTATAGAACGCACAATGCAGTGTATAATCAAGAATGTTCAATCAGGGTATTATTATTATTTTGATGATGATGATGATGTACATTTATTATTATTATTTTTATTTTTATTATTATTATAATTATTATTGAATCTTAGCTACATTACCATTTAATTCTGTACCTGACGCATATTTTTTATTCGCATTCAGGCATGTAACATAAATACTTTCAGACGATATTTAATAGTAATATAAATCTTACATTACACCTAGAAATGTGATATTGAGATGTGTTGAACTTGTAACCAGACTGCCTGTTGGCGTGTATCACACTGGTGGCACCGGTTCTGCCAATTTACCAATAAAACAATCAGGAGATAAACCTACTGTGACGTTGTCTAACTGTAGATTTGATACTTCTTATATTAATTTAGATCCGAGGCATTTAGAATTTAATACCAAATTTTAATCCTACTCTGACTGATCAGAATTGCAGTAACAGTGCTGGTTCATCATGTTGTTTGCACCTTTCAGGAACGAGGACGCGCCATGTGGGGGAGGGGGGCGGGCACGCTGTAAGCAGGTGACCCGGGCTCACTGGAGCCTTGCGTGGACCCCGGGGGTCGGGGCTCAGCTCATAGCACATGAAGTACCCTCCCACTGTCAGTGTCTCAATATCGGAACGACCGGAAGTAACCCTCCCACCACTGGCTAGTGCGCATGCTAGCAGACAGTGTACAAGGGAGACAAACGTTACACAGTGTTCCCACATACTCGCGGTACGGAACTGGTTGTCTCACGCCAATCGACGGTGATAGGCGGAAGATACCCGCACAGTGACACCCCGCCATATTCCACTCTCACGGGCAAAGGTGGATCAAGCATTTTTTAAAGGGAGGGGTCCAAAATATCAAAATCCCCTCCCAGCTGGTGGGGGTGATTATCTACACCATACTGTTTGTCAAGGGGAAAGCGGACCCCCTGGACATTCCCTCTGAATTCGCCAAATCGGAGGTTAAACTTTCCTGCAAAGAACATATCATATATACAAAGGGACGTAACTCCATAGTGATGATTCATAAATCATCGGACAATGACTATGCGAACATTAACTTCCGGATTAAAATGTGCACGTGTAAACTCATAAACTGTGTATGTTGTATATACATTCTGCCTGGAAAGCACTGAAAAGTCCATCTTGCTTTGGAGACTGATTTCCAGGTCTTGTAAATATCATGTATATATCGATTCAGATTGATGGATTAAACCTATTAATGTATTGTGATTTCATTGGTTTATAATAAACCTGTCTGTTGATATCTCCAAGTGTATTTACCATGGTAGTACGATTGTACCGTTGTGTATAGATGGAAAGCTGGCGTATTGTGTGATAACATAAATTGAAATGCGAGTCATCTGTTTGGATATGTGCTGTTCAATTGGGTATATTTAAATGATTTCAATAAACTTTGCGTTAAAACGAATACAGTCTTGCTGTTCTATGTCGCAGTGTGGTTTCATCATTTCTGCCAAAACAGAGGCATGCTAAATAATGTCCCTGTCATACTAAAACTTGAACATACACGACAAGACAATCACCTCTGCTGAAAATAGTGGACAGCCCCCTTACTCAACGGACAGGCTCCTTACTCCACAAACAGACCCCCTTACCCCACAAACAGACCCTAGTACGCTTCAGAAAGACCCCCTCACTCAAAGGACAGACCCCTAACTCCACAGACAGACCCCCCTACTCAACAGACATACCCCTTACTCCACGTAGAGACCCCTTGCCATGCCAACTGACTGAAGTGCCTGGCTAGCCTGCCTGATTGTGTGTCAGGCTGCCTGGACTGTGTGGCTCGTGGCCCGTGTTGCGCTTAACCGGTTCGTCTCGATGGGCTACACAGGGCGGCTCCCGCCTTGAGCGTATGGCAACATTCATACGCTTGTTCTATCCTCGACGTCGGCGACCCACATCCGACATTTGGCACAGTTTATCTGTTTGCTTGTTTCAGTACATCCATCGGCGTGCACAGGTACTCATCCGTCCTAATTACCCCCTTCAGATTAGCGAAACCTCGCTTACTCGAACTATGTTTATTCGTTGTCTTCTGAGACGACGTGACTTTGTGCAACCAGCAGATTTTTGTCGTCACTATAGTCTCATATCACTACACTGCTTGTCTCGATGTAATTCAGTAACTCGATAATTCGAGCATTTGTCATGTTCCCGGAATGTCGACTAAACGAGTTTCCCCTGTATTAATAATCCGCATATGATTTCAAGGCGGAGCTGGTTGTGATACAACATTCAATAAAAATGTAGCATGATTCAGAATACAGGCATGTTTAAGATCGTGCGTAAACTGTCAAACACATGACATATAGTTTGCTTTGGACGTCTATGTGATCCGCTGAGCGAGGCTACATCGTCGGCTGCTTTGAGAATGTTGCCGTGAAAAGAACTGCACCGAAGGACCTGTTTTTCGACGAGAAAAATTGAATGTTCTTAGTCGTAAAGTGCGGTTTTAGTGCAAAAGGAGAAGAGTGTCGTATAAATGGAACATCTACCACGTCATTATATACACTACCCACTTCACTGGAGCATCCGGACTACGACCTACAGCCTGGTATTTCCACAGTGAAACTAATATTGTGTGTCATGGGGTTAACTCTTGTAATATCGGCATAGACAAATCGAGTAACTAGTTGTTCGAGAAGCGCGAATGCAACTTTAAGGCACTGTGTCGTTGTGGTGAATTATCAATAATATTATTAAGTACAGATAAAAAAAAAATGCTGCAAAGAGGGTTTGGGTGATCCTGCCACAGTCAGGCTGGTTAGGCTCATCATCAGCTCAGGGTCCTTGCCCCCTCTACACGCAGCCCAGACAGCGAATGGGACTTCTCCCAGGAAGCGCTGCCTAGTCAAACCCACCCAGAACTTTTCGGAGAATGTGAAGACTCTCCAAACACTGCAGCCTTCTGCATTACCCAGATTGTCAGAAAGGCTTTTTTCCTGGTAGCAAACCCGGATACTCTCCCGATTTCAGTCAACAGATTGGGGGTACCAAACGTAAGGCACCGAGAACAATGGGGTGTCGGACAACTTGGTGACTTGGGATGCAAGCGTGACATTTCGAAAGCGAGGTCTGCATATTTGCAATCTTTTTCCTCAATCTTGTCAATCAGATAACTGTCAAAAGGGACAGAAAATTCAATGATATAAATGATTTCATTGGATTTATCAAAAAGGACAAGATCAGGTTTGTTGGCCTGGATACGACTGAGGCTGTAAACTGGCCTATTCCAAAGGATTTTGTATGCATCATTTTCCATGACGCCCTCTACATATTCTGGATCGTAAAATGGATGGACCTATGTGTCAAAACCACAAGCATGGCGAAGACGGCAAATGACCGAGCCACTCCTTGGACATTACGACGCAAAATCGGTAGAACAACAGGGCCGATGATCTCGTCGCGGTAGCGCTGTCCATTGAGATTTCCCTCTACCACTATCAAACGGGTCCTCTGTCTTACTGTAATCCCACCCCATACCATAACGCTGCCGCTCTCGAACCGATCTTCTTCCATGACACAATGATTGACGTAACGTTCACCTCGACGTCGGTACACTCGAATCCGTCCATCGCCGTGGCTGAGGTGAAAACGAGACTCGCCATTGAATAGAACTTGTCCCCACTGCATGGCCGTCCAGCGTAGACGCTGTCTGCACCACTGTAGACGTGCTTGATCGGTGGTTTCCTGTCAAAATGGGACATCTGGCGGGTCTTCTGACGACAATCCCTGCATATCTGAGGCGACGACGTACGGTTTGTGAAGATATTCGTCGAAGGCCAGGGATGCTTCTTGCAGTCACTGTTGCTGGCTGGAATCGATTTCGTACGTGTGTTGTTCGAATCCAGTTGTCTTGTCGATAATTGGTTTCGCGTGGCCTGCCACTCCAAGCATTGTCTCTGACAGCATTCGTCTGTTGCCAGCGTTGCCATAAACACCAAATGGTGGTTCTGTGGACGTTAAATTGTCTTACAAGATCACGTTGACTCGATCCTGCTTCAAGTATACCAAAGGCTCGCAGACGCTCATTTTCGGACAGGTGTAGCATTTCATAATGTTGAATAATTACGTAATGTTTTGTTTTTTTGAATGGTTGTTGTCAGCACGATGCAAAACAATGCATATGGAATCCCGTTGACAGACATGTTTGTTTACCCATTCTTGGGTAATGAAATGCATGGGGCTTGCATAAAAGTCAACTTTTGCATGCTTTTCTGTAGCAGTTGCGTTTTTGTGACTTGATTCCATACATGTACTACAATATTGAAAACCGAACTTTACTTGTTTGAAACAACACACTAAAATATTGGTGTCACAGGAACTTTTGTTGTTGAGTATACATTTGTTGGTAAGATTTATGCTGTAACTGTTAATTCATAATTCTCTGAAGATAGTAATTGACTAAGGTTCTAATTGTGGTTATGTTTTATTATGATATGTAAATGATTGATTAGACAAAGCGCATAAAGATTGACCAAGACTAGGTGATGCTCTTAGTTATTTTAACTAAGCTAATTCCCCGACCACAAATCCAATTCTTGGTATAACAATCATCCTAGACCAAACAAAGCTTCAAAGGTTAATTTATAGGTCAACAGGTTATGTCATGACTGGAATCGACGCATCAACATGATGAATTCCTCCGAATCAAATTTCTCCTCCCACAGAAACCAATACCAACACCAATAGCAACAAGAGCACATGTCCCCACAACACTGACGGATATCACCACTGGGACAAACTTGTCTTTGAGGCTAAATGATGTCACTGGGGATGCAGGTGTGGGTGGCTGTAAAGTCGCTGTTACACTGTAGAAGTCGGTGTTGCAGTAGTAGTCGGTGTTGGAGTAGTAGTCGTTGTTGAAATAGTTATCGGTGTTGGAGTAGTAGTCGGTGTTGCAGTAGTAGTCGGTGTTGAAATAGTTATCGGTGTTGGAGTAGTAGTCGGTGTTGGAGTAGTTGTCGGTGTTGGAGTAGTTGTCAGTGTTGCAGTAGTAGTCGGTGTTGGAGTAGTAGTCGATGTTGCAGTAGTTGTCGGTGTTGGAGTAGTAGTCGGTGTTGCAGTAGTTGTCGGTGTTGCAGTAGTTGTCGGTGTTCCAGTAGTGGTCGGCGTTGTTGGAGTAGTCGGTGTTGCAGTAGTAGTCGGTGTTGGAGTAGTTGTCAGTGTTGGAGTAGTTGTCGGTGTTGCAGTAGTAGTTAGTGTTGGTGTAGTTGTCGGTATTGCAGTAGTAGTCGATGTTGGAGTAGTTGTCGGTGTTGGAGTAGTGGTCGGTGTTGCAGTTGTAGTTAGTGTTGGTGTAGTTGTCGGTATTGCAGTAGTAGTCGGTGTTGGAGTAGTTGTCGGTGTTGGAGTAGTTGTCGGTGTTGCAGTAGTAGTTAGTGTTGGAGTAGTGGTCGGTGTTGGAGTAGTGGTCGGTGTTGGAGTAGTAGTCGGTGTTGGAGTAGTTGTCGGTGTTGGAGTAGTTGTCGGTGTTGGAGTAGTTGTCGGTGTTGGAGTAGTCGGTGTTGGAGTAGTTGTCGGTGTGGGAGTAGTAGTTAGTGTTGGAGTAGTAGTCGGTGTTGCAGTAGTGGTCGGTGTTGGAGTAGTCGGTGTTGGAGTAGTTGTCGGTGTGGGAGTAGTAGTTAGTGTTGGAGTAGTAGTTAGTGTTGGAGTAGTGATCGGTGTTGCAGTAGTGGTCGGTGTTGGAGTAGTCGGTGTTGGAGTAGTTGTCGGTGTGGGAGTAGTAGTTAGTGTTGGAGTAGTAGTCGGTGTGTGAGTAGTTGTCGGTGTTGGAGTAGTAGTCGGGGTTGGAGTAGTGATCGGTGTTGGAGTAGTTGTCGGTGTTGGAGTAGTAGTCGGTGTGTGAGTAGTTGTCGGTGTGGGAGTAGTAGTTAGTGTTGGAGTAGTAGTCGGTGTTGCAGTAGTGGTCGGTGTTGGAGTAGTCGGTGTTGGAGTAGTTGTCGGTGTGGGAGTAGTAGTTAGTGTTGGAGTAGTAGTTAGTGTTGGAGTAGTGATCGGTGTTGCAGTAGTGGTCGGTGTTGGAGTAGTCGGTGTTGGAGTAGTTGTCGGTGTGGGAGTAGTAGTTAGTGTTGGAGTAGTAGTCGGTGTGTGAGTAGTTGTCGGTGTTGGAGTAGTAGTCGGGGTTGGAGTAGTGATCGGTGTTGGAGTAGTTGTCGGTGTTGGAGTAGTAGTCGGTGTGTGAGTAGTTGTCGGTGTTGGAGTAGTAGTCGGTGTTGGAGTAGTGATCGGTGTTGGAGTAGTCGGTGTGTGAGTAGTTGTCGGTGTGGGAGTAGTAGTTAGTGTTGGAGTAGTAGTCGGTGTTGCAGTAGTGGTCGGTGTTGGAGTAGTCGGTGTTGGAGTAGTTGTCGGTGTGGGAGTAGTAGTTAGTGTTGGAGTAGTAGTTAGTGTTGGAGTAGTGATCGGTGTTGCAGTAGTGGTCGGTGTTGGAGTAGTCGGTGTTGGAGTAGTTGTCGGTGTGGGAGTAGTAGTTAGTGTTGGAGTAGTAGTCGGTGTGTGAGTAGTTGTCGGTGTTGGAGTAGTAGTCGGGGTTGGAGTAGTGATCGGTGTTGGAGTAGTTGTCGGTGTTGGAGTAGTAGTCGGTGTGTGAGTAGTTGTCGGTGTTGGAGTAGTAGTCGGTGTTGGAGTAGTGATCGGTGTTGGAGTAGTTGTCGGTGTTGGAGTAGTAGTCGGTGTGGGAGTTGTGATCGGTGTTGGAGTAGTAGTCGGTGTTGCAGTAGTGGTCGGTGTTGGAGTAGTCGGTGTTGGAGTAGTTGTCGGTGTGGGAGTAGTAGTTAGTGTTGGAGTAGTGATCGGTGTTGGAGTAGTTGTCGGTGTTGGAGTAGTAGTCGGTGTGTGAGTAGCGGTCGTCGTTTGGCCATGGAAGGCAATCGGTTTAAAAGATCGCGGGGCGGGGTTTGATATCTCCGAATACTTATTGTTCTCATCAAGGTCTGAGGCTTTGTCTTGGTGCCTTTAGAACTTTTCCCATTAGTAGTCTGTACGTGGAGGCTGACGAGCCATCCCTGAAACACCGTCGCTTAAAATTAGCGTTGCAATATGTTAGAAAACTTTATTCCAATCCAACTAATCCTGCATTTGAATGTGTTTTTCACCCATCTTATGAGGATCTAAACTAGTGTCCAAAAGAAACGATACCACCTGTTTGCAACGACATAAAAGAAAAACTAAACAATGCAGAAGTTTAGGATTGGTGTTATGCTTTTGAGAAATCCTTTCACAACATCTGTACACAAATTTCATTTCAATAAAATCTGTACAACCAATATGACAAGCCTTTAAAGATGGGTGGGGTCGAAAAATGAACATTTCGTTAGAGCACTGATCACAGAAACAACGGGAAATGTCACACCACACGTCTCAAAGTCAAGTCAGTAGCAGGTATGTCCACCGTGAGCATCAATACATGCCAGAACACGCCTACGGACTGATGACGTCAAACGTCTGATGACGTTGGGAGTGATGCGTTGCCATTCCTCGAGGAGACATCGTTTCATGTCCTGGACGTTGACTGGAGGCACACGGCGACGTCGGATTTGCCGATCGAGGTGGTCCCATAAGTGCTCGATGGGATTCATGTCCGGTGAACATGCGGGCCATGGCAAAACCTGTACGTTGGCGTTGGCAAGGAAGTTCTGTGTCAATCTTGCTGTGTGTGGCCTTGCATTGTCATGTTGGAAAAGGAGTCCACGAGGCTGTTGCTGAATAAAGGGCACCACAACAGGCCGTAGGATGTCATCAAGATAACGCTGTGCATTCAGGTTTCCACGAATTACGACAAGCATCGTTTTGACGTCACCACATATGCCACCCCAAACCATTAACCCTCCACCTTCAAACGGCCGGACCTGTTGGATACAGTTAGGCGCCAAACGTTCACCGAATCGTCGGTATATAAGCTGCCGTCCATCGTTTCTGAAGATGAGGAATCTGCTCTCATCAGAGAACATAACACGTGCCCAGTCCCGCCGATGCCAACGTCGAACTCGCCTGGCCCAGATCAGTCTGTTGTTCCGGTGTCGAGGCGTCAGGAGCGGTCCGCGGTAGTGATGACGTGGCCGGATACCATACTGCCGTAGTCTCCTGTAGACGGTCTGTCGACTGATCCTGTGTCCCAGTGCTGTAGCCGCCGTGGACGTCGCTGTTACGGTGCGGTTCCTCAGGTGTAATACCCGGATGTAACGATCTTCTATGGGCGTGGTTACTCGTGGTCTTCCACTCCTGGGCCTGTCTGACGTCTGACCCGTCTGACGTAACCGCTGCATTAACCTGGTGATAGTGATGCGTGCGCAGCCCAACCTTCTGGCGACGTCGACGTGTGACGCTCCTTGTTGGACCATTCCAACGGCTCTCTCTCTCTCGATGGCTGTCAAACGTGGCATATCTTGTGTTCTTTTTGTTGCTGTGATATCAACGTGTCTGATCAGCCGTTTTATACAGTTTTTCTGCACGTGCAGAAATTTACGTTTTTTCCCGGAAGTGATCACGTGTTCCCGGTATTTTTTATCGACTATGCTGTGTTTGGGATGTGCAATACGAATTGGCATGTTTTCATACTTGACAATTCACTTAGTAAAAAACAATTTTGAAAATAAGTTGGTATCGTTTCTTTTGGACACTAGTTTATATGGGAAAAAAACAGCGCTTATTCCTCCACTTGGAATAAGAATAAAACCTGCCATTTCTGATGCTAACATTAACCTTACAGTTATATCTCCTACTCAGATTTTGTCGTCTCCTCCGTGGCTGTTTATAAAGCCACAGGTCGATCTGACGTTAACCAACCTAAAGAAATCAGATACAAATCAGTCACTTTATCAACAAAATTATAATGAGCTAAGAGGCACCTATAACACTTACAAATCTATTTTCACCGATGGATCCAAGGACGGTGGTGCAGTTGCTAGTGCCACTGTCATTGGATCCAACACCATATCATCAAGAATACCAGACGCCAGTTCAATTTTTACTGCAGAATCTAAGGCAATTTTAACAGCTCTCCAATATATACATTCACAACCTTAACATAAACAGTTCATCATATTTTCTGATTCCCTTTCCTGTCTTCAGGCCATTAAGAATATTTCCTGTGATCATCCATTTTTACTTGAAATAATAGAATAATTACATAATTATCTTGCTACTGGCCAATATGACATCGTCTTTTGTTGGTTACCAAGCCATGTTGGTATTATTGGTAACACAATGGCCGATGCTGCTGCAAAGGCAGCACTCAACAAATCTGTGACACCACTTTCTATCCCATACACTGATTATAGGCCTGTTATTAGATGTTATATCAGGGATCTCATACAGAAGAAGTGGGACACCCAAGTAGGTATCAATAAATTACATGAAATTAAACCAACTATCGGTTATACCTACTTGGGCTGTCAGTCCAGATTTGAAGAGGTCATTATACGACGATGTCGTATTGGCCACAGCAGATATACCCACGAATATTTATTGAAAGGTGAGGATCCTCCATTTTGCATCCCTTGTGATGAGAGAATCACAGTCAAGCATGTCCTGCTTGATTGCATTGATTTTTCCATCACAAGGGATAAATATTTCAAATCGTCATCTATTAAGGATCTTTTTAGCAGTATCAATTCTCGTTTAATCATTGGTTTTTTAAAGGAAATAGAGTTGTGTGCAAAGTTTTGATTGTGTTTTGTGAAATGCAAATGTTTTATGATTGGTAGATTAAATAAGCAACTGGGAATGTTAGTGACTGTATCCTCGAGGGGGGTTAAAGTACTGTAAAATTATTGTCCTCCTGAGAGGGTACATAAGTTCCACTTCTTTCAAGGTAAATTTAGAACTACCGTGTTTATAATCGTAGAATATGTGTCATTTTAAGATGTTAGGCTAACTCTGCCAATAATCGCCAACACTTGAAGGGGTGATGTAAATCCTGCTGGGGTCCATGCAGGTAGCTAAGGTACTGTAAGTCCCGATGGTCCCCAGTATGGTGATCTCCCTTCAGGGGCTGGCGATCTATAGCCCGTTTTTATCATGTTATTGTTATGTATAAGTGTTATCATTTTTTATGATTCCATACTACTTTTAAAATCTTTTTCTGTGATAAGTCTAGTACTTTTTACTGTCCTTCGTTGGCAGGTTTTTATATAAGTTTAATTGTATTTATAAAAATTAACCCTTGGTAGTCACGATATGGCTGAAATAGTGCCGACTTTAAATATTAACTCACTCACTCTGTTCGTCACCGGGTGACGAAGACCGAAGTGGTATTGTTCGCCACCGGGTGAAGAGGACCTAAGTGGTATTGATCACCACAGGGTGAAGAGGACCTAAGTAGTATGGTTCGCCACAGGGTGATGAGGACCTAAGTTGTATTGTTCGCCAGCGGGTGAAGAGGACCTAAGTGGTATTGATCACCACAGGGTGAAGAGGACCTAAGTAGTATGGTTCGCCACAGGGTGATGAGGACCGAAGTGGTATTGTTCGCCACAGTGTGACGAGGACCTAAGTGGTATTGTTCGCCACCGGGTGACGAGGACCTAAGTGGTATTGTTCGCCACTGGGTGACGAGGACCTAAGTGGTATTGTTCGCCACTGGGTGACAAGGACCTAAATGTATTCTTCGCCACCAGGTGACGTGGACCTAAGTGGTATTGTTCGCCACCAGATGACGAGGACCTAAGTCGTGTTCTTCGCCATCGGGTGACGAGGACCTAAGTGGTATTGTTCGCCACAGGGTGACGAGGACCTTAGTGGTATTGTTCGTCACAGTGTGACGAGGACCTAAGTGGTATTGTTCGCCACCGGGTGACGAGGACCTAAGTGGTATTGTTCGCCACTGGGTGACGAGGACCTAAGTTGTATTCTTCGCCACAGGGTGACGAGGACCTAAGTGGTATTGTTCGCCATCGGGTAACGAGGACCTTAGTGGTATTGTTCACCATCGGGTGACGAGGACCTAAGTGGTATTGTTCGCCACAGGGTGACGAGGACCTAAGTGGTATTGTTCACCCACAGGGCGAAGAGGGCCTAAGTGGTATTGTTCACCACCAGGTGACGAGGACCTAAGTGGTATTGTTCGCCACTGGGTGACGAGGACCTAAGTGGTATTCTTCGTCATAGGGTGACTATGACCAAAGGGGGATTATTCACCACTGAGTTACGAGGACCTAAGTGGTATTGTTCGCCACCGTTTGACGAGGACCTAAGTGGTATTGTTCACCACCAGGTGACGAGGACCTAAGTGGTATTATTCGCCACTGGGGGACGAGGACCTAAGTGGTATTGTACGTCACAGGGTGACGAGGACCAAAGTGGTATTGTTCGTCACAGGGTGACGATGACCTAAGTGGTATTGTTCGCCACCGGGTGACAAGGCCAAATTGGTATTGTTCGCCACCAGGTGACGAGGACCAAAGTGGTATTGGTCACCGCCGGGTAATTAGGACCTAAGTGGTATTGTTCACCACATGCATCACTGAGGGCGTTCCTCCACGCCGTGATGTTCAGGGTGACGAGGACCAAAGTGGTATTGATCACTAGCTTCATCACTGAGGGCCTTCCTCCACGCCCTGGTGTACAAGGAACTGACATACGGCCGTGTAGGACGGTATGAAAGGATGATATCAGTGCTAAGTTATAAATGTATGTATTGCTTATAAATCACACACGCAGACACATACATATATGATACATTAATAAGAGACATCGTGAAAATGTATTTTACTTCATCTATACATATCATTGTGAATTAGAAGTACGAAGAAATGTCTTTGTTTTGTATACCTCATTGATCATATGCCTTGTCTAGACTTACGACAACAATCTATATTCACTGTCAGAAACACCATTCTGTCAGTGTATTTTCTGTCTCTGTTCTGGTTCAGCGATGATCTCTGTATAAGCTTTGTCAGATAATGTCATTTGTGGTCAGTTGATAAACACGAAGTTTTAAACACGAACTGATCGTGATTACATGTCAATTTCCCCTGCATTCATCGTTCAGTATTTCAATATTTCATTTGTAAGAAAACCGACTCGTTAGGAACAGCTGGCTCGGTCATTGGGGCATCCAGCGGGTCTGACGGCATGTGGAGAACCTTCTTGCTGATGAACATCCTGGCTATAACAACAGCAGCTACAGCAGCAATAGCAACACCGCCTAACGTGCCGCCCACAATGGCGACGATCACACTTGCGCTTGGAGCCGGAGCCTGAGCCTGAGCCGGAGCCGGAGCCACACCGCCTAACGTGCCGCCCTTCGTTGTCATAGGTCGTGGCGTCACCGACTGTCCAGTCAGTGGGCGTGTTGGACGTGTGGTTTCGGCAGTTTTTAGGTCATTCATCGTTACTTGTTTGAAAGTTGCCACAGCTATGTTGGATTTATCAGATGCGTGATTGACTTCATCAAAGGTCACCAGGGCAAAACAGACGGTCGTCCAACCCACTGGGGTCTTGATCGTCATCTCCTCTCTGCTGTTGGCCGGTTTAGGCGCCATAAGTCCGGATATCATAGGTTGTGTCACCTTTTGGCACGACGAGAATTTTGTGCTCAGTTCTTTAGCAGTTTCTGCGATTCGTATTTCGTATCTGGAAGCTGAAATTTATATTAAGAATACTTATTTACGAAAAGAATTATATCTGCAAGAATGACAATATAATATAGAAATGTCGTTGGTTCGAGAAGGCAGCTAACTCTGTTTGCCTAATCGAAAATTCGAGGTGGGCACACATTCCAAACAAACTGCCCCTGTAATATGAACTTCGTCCAAAAACACTGTATCACGAACTTGCTTTTGTTTCTTTTTATCATTATAAATTATTTATAAATGTGGGTCAACCATCTTCTCGAAGCAAGGGAGTTAACTGACTATAAAAGTGACCTGTATTGACAGTTGACTCGGGAAGATGTGGGCCCACTAAGTGAACCTAAGCCTAGCGATTCACAAATGTGGGCCCACCGGTTCAGATCCCTATATCTATAGTAAACCCATATTTCAGAAAATGGTTATCAGTAAGTATTTAGTAAAATGTGGTTCCTCCTATTGTAATCACTATGACATAAATAGTGGGCCAAACGTTAGAAAAGTACAAATAAAGCAACCTAATGAAGCTTGGCGATATTCAAGTGTTGGTCCACTTGTTTTTTAACACCATATATGACGGGGAACTTGTTATCACATAATAATCACACTACGCCAACATCAATTGCAATATTTTTGTTCCTGACTTACAGATTATATTGTCAGTCGCAAAAAGAACACTGCTGAAAGCTGGTTTTCTTAGGCTCACAGTCTTAAGTAAACACATAGCTGGCTTTGCAGATGTAACTGAAGATATTAACCCACACCCTCCCCTTTCGTCAACTCAACAAACCAAAATATTCACCAGTGCCAACGTCGAGATCGTCCCCGGGGGCAGTCCAGGTCAAGGTCACTGTTCCAATATTTGCATTGAAAGCGACGACCTTGAAATCGGTGACTCTAACAGGGGGATACACGTCTTTTCCAGGTACAGAGCCAGTAACGTCCATGGCACCAGGAGACGTGGTGCGTGTGAAGTTGCCGGCCTCCACAGTTTTTACAGTTGCTGTGGTATCTAGTAAACACAGACAACAAGGCTGCAGGGTTACAGAGGACGCCTTGAGATATAAGGACAATTTACCATTATATTGAAAGTTCAATTCATTCGGTTACAATCTTTCAGCGCTTATTAATGAGTGCACACATTATGCTCTATTTGAACCACGACACACTGTGGGATCTCACCGACAAAAGAAAAGCGAACACCACATATATTGGTTAATATATGAAGAATGACCCATATGCAAGAGATATTAGATTGGCTTGACGCACAAACGAACATACTGGTATGTTGTGTAAACCGACGCTCATGAAAGCATCACATGTGACGTCAGAGATCCGTGACTCGAGATGTCCCATGTGTCTCGTGCAGGTTTACTGTGTAAAGTTTGGAAATCACATGCAGCATACCGTTATAAGAATAAAGACAGTCCATTGTAACATCTGACTGATTGTTAGTTTGTTATTAATTGGTACAATGTGGAAACATCGCTCCTTAAACTTAAACAAACTTCCCCACATGTTTGTATAGTTCTCATTTCTTTTGGCGGTGAGCATAGTGTACGAAATAGATAGATGCCTGAAATCATTGGATTCAATGTTAGTGTTTACGCCTCGGGTATTTAAGTGATCATTAAGGCGCAATGTATGCAGAAATGATGCCCTTATTGTGGCACAGATACAAACATACTGGGGTATCTGGAGTTGGCCCTCCCGAAGGCAGGACCCCCCTGAAGGAAGTAGCGTGTTTTGTGGGCGATAGTTCTCACGTCCACATCCAGGGAGTACCTCTCGTTGCCAGTGAACAGGGTGAAGTACACAGAATACACCCCGTCATCAGCCTTGTTGTCCGGCACTGGAACACAAGCATGTGACGGCCTCTCTCAATGTAGGGACATAGGATTGCATGGAATATGTTAATATGTATTATAGAAATGTATATTTTGTGGATAGAACAAGTGAATAAGTAATGCCAGCAAATGTAAGCAGTGACGTTGCCTCACTTGTATATTAAAGAAATTAGACGATCTGCTACACACCACCAAAACAGTAAACAAGAGTCATGTCGGAACATGTGCTTACACTTTCATGAACTCCGGATCGAACCTGGTCCTGTTATTGGTAGTAACTTAACATTTTCCATGGCATCGGAAAGACAAAAGCAATTAAAAGTATATATCATACAGGCACCTCGAGGCTGTGTGTCTATTACTTGTATCACTTCCAGAAGCCTCATGGTCAGTATATGTTGCTAGGTCCCTGAGTACCTCTACACAACCCTATACAACACGGCCATGTTAGAAACACACATAGGGACGTTGTGCAACTCCAAGCAAAGGCTGTACATACACACCCTCTCAATAATTACAGAGTACATAAATAACATATTACCCACACCCTCTCAATAACTAAAGAGTACATAAATAACATATTACCCACACCCTCTCAATAACTACAGAGTACATAAATAACATATTACCCACACCCTCTCAATAACTACAGAGTACATAAATAACATATTACCCACACCCTCTCAATAACTACAGAGTACATAAATAACATATTACCCACACCCTCTCAATAACTACAGAGTACATAAATAACATATTACCCACACCCTCTCAATAACTACAGAGTACATAAATAACATATTACCCACACCCTCTCAATAACTACAGAGTACATAAATAACATATTACCCACACCCTCTCAATAACTACAGAGTACATGAATAACATATTACCCACACCCTCTCAATAACTACAGAGTACATAAATAACATATTACCCACACCCTCTCACTAACTACAGAGTACACGAGTAACCTATTACCCACACCCTCTCAATAACTACGGATTACATATACACTACAGTTTACATACCCTATTACCCACAATCTGTTACAAAGACCTATGTTATACTTACACGTCCCCTTGTCCATAGGCTTTAACGTCACGGGAGGCCCAGAAGGTCGTTCCACCGTCACTGTTACGTCAGCATCAACGACGGGGGAGTATCCTTTTCGTACACTGACGTAGACGACAAGTTTAGTGGGGTTAGGTCCGGAGAGATCGGCGCCCGTGGAGGACAGCCAGGAAGTGATCTCATAGGGTTGTGTGTGATCCCCAGGTAGTGCCTTCACCACAAGTGTCACTATGCCAGGCGTCGGGCTCAACAACGAATAGTGCCATACTCCTGTCTTAATACAGAAACAAATGCAGCTGTCATGCTTGGCTTGGTGATTAGTGAAACGGCTCATGATTATATAAGTAATGAAGTATGATACTTGCGCTTTCTGGAAGTTGAATCTGACAATGTTGAGTTTGCTGTCGAGGGAATATTCAGGACTAGCTGAGGTATACTTGGTGCCAGTAGGGGACGTCAGGGTTACCTAAACACAATAAGGAAATGCATAAAACTAACTACATGTAGCTTCTCGTGGCAACACGGCTTTGTTAAATAACTTGAAGTATGAAGCCGCAATGGAGGAAACATACTCACCGTCACTGATGCTCCATGCGTGAGTGTAAAGACGAACATTGTGTCACTCCCAACTGTAGCGTCCATGGTGATGACGCCTTCAACGGGTGTCGTTGGAATTAAAGGCTTAGCTACTCTCATTATCTGAAATTAAACCTGAAATTACACTGGTTCGGAAACCATAGGAAATTGCCTTGAACCTTATCCTCCAAATCGAAGAAGCCGAAGAAATCAGTTAACTCGTAAGAACAGGATTAAATCGTTACAAAATGAATCACACATATTTGGGTCCACTCCATATACTCCCCGTGTCTGGACACAGACATCTTCACAATGAACAGGTAATGGAAAGGGGGACACTGTCATAAGTAATGCCATAGGAACAAAATCCGGGTATTCTAAGTTTCTGTCCCCTTGAGTTTGAGGAAACAAGTGAGACAATGCAGCGCATGGCATAATTTGCCTCCGACCAAGCTAGGCATCCAACACAATCCAAGCGCAAGAAAGTCGAAAAGGAATTGGGGTTGCTTAAGGCGATCGGTCTGACAAACATGCAGGACTAGTAAAAGTCAACTGTGTAAACTTTATTTGTAAACTCTGTCATTTTCTTAGTATATTTTGTGACACACAGTCTTGACATGCTGTCATCATGGGTGACTTTTACCGACGCGGAATGTATGACTACATACATGACTTGATTTGGCACGATGTCATCAACGTACCTCAATACGGACCCTGTGGGTACAGATAGATATGTCTTTCATCAACGTCTCGATGACGCTGTCCAGGACGGTGGAGGTGGCGTCCTCAGAGTAGTAGGCGTACTGACCACCTGACAAACAGAAGCAGGCCAGTAAGAAGACCTTTCGTTGCTTAATGAAATATCCCTTAGCAACAACTTCCAATCAATGGAGACAGACAGACAGACAGACAGTTAGAGAGAGACAGACAGTCGGACAGACTTGCCCCGGTGTAACTTGACTGACCTGTTTCATCAGCTAATTTCCCTATAGCCAGGGCAGCTGCACTACTGTATGCCACTGCATGTACCCGGACTCCTGCTTGGATCAGTTCTCCTTTCACATCAGCTACATAAGGGAGAACATTCTCCTCTCCATCTGTGATCAGCACTATCCTGCCTTCCTTTGACACACCTGCTTCCTGCAGCATCTGGGGGCAACAGTTAGTATTTCATGTGTCAAACCACATTTACAAAAACAACAGTAAGTGTAAGGTACGTCTTTCATCAGCACTAGTTTGACGAATACGAATTCTATATAAGATATAACATTCATGTACTTTCATAATTGTATGTTCTGTCTACCTGTTTAGCACGAAGGAGTCCTCTTCCAATCCCAGTACCACCCCGGTAGTCCTGCAGTTTCGGCAGCAGCTGGGACACCCTGTCTCTTTCAGAAGTTGCCGACAACGACGTCAGCGGTATTCTTGTAGGCACAATGGAAGAAAACGTTACCACGCCGACCTTTGTTCCCACGGGGAGGATGTCTCTGATGAGTTTGTCTGCTGTCTGACTTTGTTTGAAGTAGCGGTTGTTCTGAAAGACAATTCAATCTCCAAACAGTAATTCGCATTAAAAAAACTTGATAAATACAAGACAACAGTGGCAGTGAACTACACATGCCTATGGTGTCACTTGTACCAGAAACAGATACTGTGAGTAGCAGAGCTTGGTTTCTGGTATTTAACATTGATATTTGACAAACCGTACGTTAAGACCTAGAAGGAGTGGCTGAAACATTCTGAGCCTAACTAGGATGGACTGCATGTGCATTGATAGAGTTGGTTGTTCATAATTTTTCAACATTATTGACTCCGAGATCCACACATTTCTGTCAACGATGCTGGAAGTGCCAGGATCTCACTCTGTAGAACAAAATCCTTTCAACAGGCAGAGAAAACATGTGCTGAAAGCAGAGAAGGCTGGTAGGCTAGAAGTGCAGGAAGGCTTTAGATCCAGTGTTAGACGCCCCACTGATGACATCATCATCACCTGCATAATGCTTGAAAGATTGTTCTTTCTTCAAGTTTGGGAAGAGGTGGAAAGATCAGGTGGCTCTGCTTCAATTTTCACGAGAGAAAAGCTGCACTGTTTCTAATCAGGAGTCAGAAGCCGCAGAACCTAGTGTGCTGAAACCTTTGTCATGCCCATTTCATTCTTCCGATTGTTCTGAACTCTCCTCTCATGAGAGATGCCTACTCTAATTGCTATGTGACATATGGTGAGTGGTAAAGGAAAGAGCATCAAGCCCGAAAGTTGACATCATGTCTGCATGGCTGTCTGTTGGAGATAGACCTTTCAGTGACTTGATGACAGTACGGTAGCCAATTTTGTCCATTTTCATCAACAGAGAATTCCTATTCGCGTTGAGGCATGCAGAATTGTACAGCCAGATGTATGTAGTCCCAGTGTATCTAGTAAGCATAGAAAGTGGTGTACTTAACACAGGTAAACTGTTAGGGTGTACTATACGCCATCCGAACTGTTCAGCCACCTCTGTAGCATTGACGTCTCAACCTAAAACTTACCGATACCATTGAGCCGGAAAGATCCAGGACCAGGACAACGGGTCTCCCACAGACCTCCCCTCCGATGTGTGTGGTGGTCTTATCGTTGAACAGGACATTGAATGTAGGTCTTATTTCCGCCTCTGTCCTGTTGACGGGAGGGTTGGCTCCTCCCACGAAGTCTGGGTTCTCCAAGATGATGTCCCAGGTGCCCCTCCCCTCACACATCTTGTTATGCTGGTTCGGGGACAGGTCGTTGTGGAGGTAATCCGGGTCATTGGAATTACTCTCACAAAATGTAGTTACCTGCACATTAAAGAGCCAGATAGGGTATATTTTGGAAAGTTCCGATCCATAAGACACTGATGAAAACTAACACATTAATTGTTTATAAGAATGACGTTTCTACAGAGATTCCAGGCACCCAGTTCCCAGGCATGCTGCATATTACACAAATTCACGACATTTGTAAAGCACAAACTCCCCTTTACAACTGGAAGGTACTGATACCTACAGTTGCCCACTGGGACATAAATTACATCAGTAGAAATGTAAAGATCAACAGTACGCAGTAACAGCCAACTAACAGCAGGTGTCATCTCTGATTTTCAGTGGTCCATTCATATTATTTTCACACCTATTTTGCCCTTACGCCAAATATTAATCTGTTTCGGCGAATAATCTAGACTAGTTATTTTCTTGCAACGACAACTTATATTTGCATATGAATAATGAAACTCAAAGAACAGTATGTAGAATGTAGTATTTTGAGAGAGTATTTTGAAATTTTGGAACCCTCCCTTTTAAATTTGTTGGATCCGGCCTTGTTACTGCTTACCGATTTGACAAAGAGGTCATTCATGATGGACGCCCTGGCGGTGTTCCCGTCTATGTCCGTCAGGAAGTAGCAGTCGCTCCCCGGCAGGTGTGTCGCCGGATCGACGGTGCAGTTCCCTTGAGGATGACCTTTGATAGAGTATGTACACCCAGTTGGCATCAAGGTGTCGTCATCCAAGTAGAAGTTGGGGAATTCCGCGGTGTTCAGTCCATATTCATCAAACACTCCGTAACGGAGATGCGCGAATTCGTGGACGAGCGTCCGACCTGCAGAGCGTATTCCAAGCGTTTGTTTGTTATTTTATGAATACATTATTTCCTTAATAATCCAATCAAATTCACATGTCTACTTGGCCATATGGTAAACAGCATGGCATAATAGAAACCTGTTTTAGGCGGCTTTTAGCAATATTCCAGCAATATCACGGCGGGGGACACCAGAAATGGGCTTCACACATTGTACCCATGTGGGGAATCGAACCCGGGTCTTCGGCGTGACGAGCCAAAGCTTTAACCACTAGGCTACGCGACCGCCCCCTGTACGTAATAACATTTTACATGCTACATAATATGCCCATCAACAGCATTTGCCCCCCAAACAGCATCCGCCCATTCAACAACATCCATCCACACAACAACATCCGTCCACACAACAACATCCGTCCACACAACAGCATCCGCCCAAACAACAACATCCGTCCACACAACAGCATCCGCGCAAACAACAGCATCCGCCCATACAACAGCATCCGCCCACCCAACAGCTTCCGCCCATACAACAGCATCAGCCCAAACAACAGCATCCGCCCATACAACAGCGTCCGTCCATACAACAGCATCCGTGCAAACAACAGCATCCGCCCACCCAACGGTATCCGCCCATACAACATCATCCGCCCACACAACAGCATCCGCCCACCCATCAGCATCCGCCCATACAACATCATCCGCCCACACAACAGCATCCGCCCACCCATCAGCATCAGCCCAAACGACAGCATTCGCCCAAAACAACAGCATCCACCCAGCAACAGTATCCGACCCAAAATCAGCATCCGTCCTGACACCAGCATCCACCATACAGCAGCATCAGCCAAAACAACAGCATCCGCCCTAACAACAGCATTTGTCCATACAACAACATCTGCCCATCAAACAGCATCCTTCCATACAACAGTATCCGCCCATACAACAACATCCTCCCAAACAACAGCATCCGTCCATACAACAGTATCCGCCCATACAACAACATCCTCCCAAACAACAGCATCCGTCCATACAACAGCATCCGCCCAAACAACAGCATCAATCCATACAACAGACCCTGCCCATCATTGAGTGTTGATGTTAAACTTTGAACTGTGACAATGTCGCGAGATGAAGACCGATGGCCACCTACCTCCCTCGCCCCAGTTGGTGAGCCTGTAGTGAGGGTTGAGGATATACTCCGGGGTGAGGTGGATGTACTCCCCGGGGTCGCCACACCCAGCGGGCTGCTCCGTGTAGGGGTTGTTGCCATACACTGGGGACGCCTGGTCGATTCGGATATCTGCCTCTTCAAATGTCTCATCCTTCGCATTGGCCCAAGCTGGCTGTTTAGACCACGTGCCCGGGATAAGGAACGTGACACTACCTATGTAGGAGCGCTTCCTAGTTGCCTTGTACAGCGCGGTGGACGCATCGCTGATAATGCTCTGTAAGAAATACATGACGATCATATCATAGGAAGTGCCTTCCAACTTTGTTTTTCTACTGTGCAAACTGCAAGTTGCAAATGTTCTTGATTTTATTCTGCGTTCTGTACACATAGAACGGTGCATGACAGATGTCAAGCTTTGACAAAATAAGGATATGTTTCTCGGCAGACAAGACTAGTTCAGCTCGTACAACGCAAGAAATAAACCATATTTTATTTAAATTTAAAAGGCATTGCCCTGCCATCTGTTTTAGTGTCCATGTATCTAACAGTCAGGGTGAACCAACTCAGACTGACAATGCTGTAAGCGGTGTATTGTTGCAGGGGACACGCCCTAGGCACGACTCATGACATGTCGAAGTTGGTTAGTCTACTTGTTTTACCCACCCTCCCACCCGTAGGTTTTATATTTTCAATTGGACATTTGTCTTTATTAAGTGACCTTTACCCCCAAGAGGAATTGTTTGTTTTCAGGCCCGTATGACACTGGTGCTATTCTCAGTTTGATTTCCTGTTGGTTGGCTTTCAAGATGATTGCAATGTTCGGGGACTACTGGCCCATCAACCAAGGATCGGATGATGGAGTTTAAATGGGGAATTAGGCATCAAGACTTGTTTTTTTTGTTTATCGATGCAGTCAACTGTATGACGGTGGACCAAATTTGGACCAGACAATCCAGTGATTGCCGTCATGCGCATGGATCTACGTAATTGGGATCGGATGATAAGCATTAACCAAATCAGCGAACCTCACCACCCGATCCCGTTAGTTGCCTTTTACGACAAGAATTGGTTGCTGAAGATCGATTCTAACACGGGGAGGCATCAAGACGAGTAGGTAGGCAGATAGACAAATACAGACACAGACAGATTATATGTCCACGGAAAAGAATAAACAAGGTCAACCTGAGAGAGGTGGGCGCACAGATGAGAATCTGTGTAGGATGACGGACAGGCAAACAAACAAGGCCACACTGAGAGAGGTGAGTGTACAGATAGGCGTACAGATAGGCCTACAGATAGGCCTACAGATGGGCATGGAGTGAGGGAATAGACAACTAAGACAAATATTAGCCTCGGGACGTGTTCGAAATATTTCTCAAAAGAATAAATGCTGCTCTATACACCTTGCTTACCTTCATCTCGGAGATGAGGGTGAGGTTCTCTGGCACGCTGTCCGTCATCCTACACCTTGCTTACCTTCATCTCGGAGATGAGGGTGAGGTTCTCTGGCACGCTGTCGTGAATGGCTACAACGAGGTTGTCATATTTGTTGTTGTGGATGTTGAGGAGGGTGCTTCCAGTCGGGGAGAGTTGGAGAAACAGGAGGGCAATCAGCACGGCTGCTGAAGACATGACCCTGGGGGACAGAACACATGACCTGTCTGAGGAGACCATAGTAAATAAACAGCCCTTGGTGATGGCGCGAGGGCGCAACTGCTTGGTACAGTGCGGGACACATTAGTTGCAAATATACCCCGGAAGAAACAGCATATCTTATACAATCGGTCACAAAGGCATTTCTTGATTGCTTTCATGAAATATACACCATGGGAAAAATTAAGCACTGCTTACGGTCTAAAACCATACAGAAAGACAGACAGATAATACCACTGAAAATATTCCTCTTTTTTCATTTAAAATCAAAGCACACTTATTTTTGTTTACAAAGTGTCATAATCATTTTGAGAAACAGAAACAGAAATAGATTATTTGATGACATGTACCAATTGCCTCAGAGGTACAGGGTTTATGGCGGACAGCTACCAAAGTCAGATGTGGCAGATATGGTAGACAGGACGTATTTCTCAAAAGACAGAAGAAATTCCTATGAACTCTAAAACTATCCATTACACTGGCTTTAACTTAACCAGCAGAATGAATGTGACTTTGTGATATTAAGTCAAGTTTGCATACCACCCTGTACTGGGAACAAAGCATACATACCCCATGACTCGGCTCCGTTATGGATCGTACTATGTGTTTTCAGGGAACGAAATTACAGGGCCTTTTATAACGCAGTACGGCATGCTTAAAGGAGTATTCATTAACACATGAAAGCTTAACCCGACAGTAAAATCGATGAAAGCAACTATTACAACCTGATTAAGAAAATCATAAATAAACAGTGAACATGATTCAATTGAGAGAGAAAAAAAACGCCTCCATGTTATCTGCCTCGGTGGTGTCGACTTAGGCCGTCAACCTTGGCGGCTACGATAGATGTCAACTACACATGAGATTACCAGCAGAGCAACGTTATCAACGACAGTAACATAACATGTTTCAGAATGCCATGACACCAGTCTGATAACATCTGCCCTTGTTTAAATGCATTTTGTATTTCATACTATAACACATGTCATTATACAACAATAGTTCCAGGTGCGGTGAGGCAGCCTAGTGGTTAAAGCATCCGAAAACCCGGGGTCGATTCCCCTGGTGGGTATATTGTGTGCCATGTGTGGTGTCGCCTGCCATGAACTTGCTGGAATGTTGTTGAAAGCGGCGTAAAACCATACTCAGTCACGTGTGTTTATGTTCGTAATAGTAATACGAGAGGTAGGCAAACATTCTTAATTCTACAATGTGGTCGCTGAAATTAAACAACCATGGAAATTCCCGCAAGTGCAAGCGTTCGGTTTACGTTTGACAGACACGCTGGGTCAGATATACAGGATCACACTCTCCTATATCTGGTGACGGTTATTACTAAAAGAGTCGTACATTATATGTACGTCAGGGCGACATCAAGTTTCTGAAGCGTATAGGGTATTGGTTGTATGAAACCACGTGGGATATCCAGGCCGGCGAGGTTGCTTGGACATTATGGGCGGAACAAGACGGGTCAGCCGGACAAGCACCATGACGTCGTACAATACCGGTTGACGTTAGTTACACAATCCCGTCAACTCCACCTGCAGTTCAGTGAGGGGTTTGCTGGCGTGATTACGTTGTTGGTAATCCAGTGTTTCAATCTCCACGTACAACTAGTCTCGCTACTTTTAACATATACTGACATGAAGCTATATAGGAACTACAATCATGAGCGATACATTTGCACGGTGCCGAGACGACAAACTAAGTTATACGAAAGAATATGTTCCCACATCGGCAAACAATGATGTTGTTCTTAGAAACTGTGAAATGCATAAATGTGTTGCATTGTCAGATATATCGATAAACAACGATCACGAGCCGATTGTCTTATATGAGATGACCAACATTATGTACAGCCTCCCAAATTTTAATAATGATGACTCCCTGAATAGAATCCTACATCGACAATGTCGGACAAGTCAATTTTACGAACTGGTGGGTTAAGTTTGGTATTTCCCGCATATTCTCACAATCCTCACGTCGATTATCTGTACCTTTGCTCCTAATATCGATATCTCTCCCACTTTTGGATGCGATCGTTCAGACATTGCGTTTATCTGTGCAGCCCAGCTACATCTATAGGGAACATCTTAGTTGTCACTTCCCTCTCAAAAAATAACGTCGTCCAATATATGACGTCATGAAGTTGCAAGCGCATATTCGATTGACCAGAAATGACGTCTTGATAGAACAATGTTTTATCGTGAATTAAACCACGCTTCGTTCTTCACAGCAAGCTATCATCCCCGTTGGTATTCCGGGTTAGATTAGATCCCTAGCAACCTCTGTTTGTCGTAACGCAATGAGTTGGGTGGTACAACTCGGTTACTTGATAGATTGCCAGCTTGTAATAGAAACAAATGAGTTTTACTCTTTATAATTACACCTTACACAAGCTGATTCTATTCCACTTATAGACATGTGGTTTCGAGGTTTCTTGTGGTTGGTGTTGTCAAATAGTGGAGACAGTGAGACCTAGGCCTGAATCGTCAAAGTCGCTTGCGTAATTCCATTAACTGCTTGAGCACGGTCAACCCTCTGTAGAACGTTAACATATTTACAAAAAGGTATTACTCCCTGCCTTCCATGAAATCCCATGCAACTCTCATGCCTTCATGTTTCTGAACGGGTGGTCAGGCTCGCTGATTTGGTTGACACATGTCATCGTATCCCAAATGTGTGGTTCCATGCTCACGATGTCAATCACTGGATTGTCTAGTCAAGACTCGATTTTTTACAGACCACCGTCATATAGCTGTAATATTGCTGAGTGCGGCGTTAAACAACAACAACAACAACAAACACAAATCCTAACTGTCCTGATCTCTAATTAAATACTTCATGGAATGAAACTACATTGACAACAATGAGCATCACTTACATGGCAACTGGGAGTAATTACGTTATCAAATGCACCATTTTTCAGAAGCAATTAACAGGCATGCGACTAAAACCTGAACTAATGTCATATCTGTTTACTAACATTTTGTTTGAGATGGAACTGGAGCCATACAACGTTACTAACATCGCTTCAAAGGTTTAGACCCAGGAAGTATATGTAGCAGCAACGCTAGAATGTATATAACGTTTGTATTACCACGAATGTCAAATGTAGGTCAGTGTTCTTCATTTTCAGGTCTGTTGATTTGCCTGCCTGGGTTACCGCCTGGGTTACAGCCTGGGTTACCGCCTGGGTTACCGCCTGGGTTACCGTCTGGGTTACAGCCTGGGTTACCGTCTGGCTTACAGCCTGGGTTACCGTCTGGGTTACCGTCTGGCTTACAGCCTGGGTTACCGTTTGGGTTACCGCCTTGGTTACAGTCTGGGTTACATCCTGGGTTACCGCCTGGGTTACAGCCTGGGTTACCGCCTGGGTTACCGCCTGCGTTACCGCCTGGGTTACCGCCTGTGTTACCGTCTGGCTTACAGCCTGGGTTACCGTCTGGGTTACCGCCTGGGTTACCGTCTGGGTTACCGTCTGGCTAACAGCCTGGGTTACCGTCTGGGTTACCGTCTAGCTTACAGCCTGGGTTACCGTTTGGGTTACCGCCTGGGTAACAGTCTGGGTTACATCCTGGGTTACAGCCTGGGTTACCGTCTGGGTTACCGCCTGGGTTACCGCATGGGTTACCGTCTGGCTTACAGTCTGGGTTACAGTCTGGGTTACCGTTTGGGTTACCGCCTGGGTTACAGTCTGGGTTACATCCTGGGTTACCGCCTGGGTTACAGCCTGGGTTACCGCCTGGGTTACCGCCTGGGTTACCGCCTGGGTTACCGCCTTGGTTACCGCCTGGGTTACCGTCTGGCTTACAGCCTGGGTTACCGTCTGGGTTACCGCCTGGGTTACCGTCTGGGTTACCGTCTGGCTCACAGCCTGGGTTACCGTCTGGGTTACCGTCTGGCTTACAGCCTGGGTTACCGTTTGGGTTACCGCCTGGGTAACCGTCTGGGTTACATCCTGGGTTACAGCCTGGGTTACCGTCTGGGTTACCGCCTGGGTTACCGCCTGTGTTACCGTCTGGCTTACAGTCTGGGTTACAGTCTGGGTTACCGTCTGGGTTACAGCCTGGATTTCCGTCTGGGTTACCGCCTGGGTTACAGCCTGGATTTCCGTCTGGGTTACAGCCTTGGTTACCGCCTGGGTTACCGCCTGGGTTACAGCCTGGGTTACAGCCTGGATTTCCGTCTGGGTTACCGCCTGGGTTACAGCCTGGGTTACCGTCTGGCTTACAGTCTGGGTAACCGTCTGGGTTACCGTCTGGGTTACAGCCTGGATTTCCTTCTGGGTTACAGCCTGGGTTACCGTCTGGCTTACAGCCTGGGTTACCGTCTTGGTTCCCGCCTGGGTTACCACCTGGGTTACCGTTTGGGTTACCGTCTGGGTTACAGCCTGGATTTCCGTCTGGGTTACAGCCTGGGTTACCGTTTGGGTTACCGCCTGGGTTACAGTCTGGGTTACATCCTGGGTTACAGCCTGGGTTACCGTCTGGGTTACCGTCTGGGTTACAGCCTGGATTTCCTTCTGGGTTACAGCCTGGGTTACCGTCTGGCTTACAGCCTGGGTTACCGTCTTGGTTCCAGCCTGGGTTACCACCTGGGTTACCGCCTGGGTTACCGTCTGGGTTACAGCCTGGATTTCCGTCTGGGTTACATCCTGGGTTACAGCCTGGGTTACCGTCTGGGTTACCGCCTGTGTTACCGCCTGGGTTACCGTCTGGCTTACAGTCTGGGTTACAGTCTGGGTTACCGTCTGGGTTACAGCCTGGATTTCCGTCTGGGGTACCGCCTGGGTTACAGCCTGGATTTCCGTCTGGGTTACCGCCTGGTTTACCGCCTGGGTTACAGCCTGGGTTACAGCCTGGGTTACCGTCTGGGCTACCGTCTGGGTTACCGCCTGGATTTCCGTCTGGGTTACAGCCTGGGTTACAGCCTGGGTTACCGTCTGGCTTACAGCCTGGGTTACCGTCTGGGTTACAGCCTGGGTTGCCACCTGGGTTACCGCCTGGGTTACCGTCTGGCTTACAGCCTGGATTTCCGTCTGGGTTACCGCCTGGGTTACAGCCTGGGTTACCGTCTGGCTTACAGCCTGTGTTACCGTCTGTGTTACCGTCTGGGTTACCGCCTGGGTTACAGCCTGGATTTCCGTCTGGGTTACCGCCTTGGTTACAGCCTGGGTAACCGTCTGGGTTCCCGCCTGGGTTACCACCTGGGTTACCGCCTGGGTTACCGTCTGGGTTACAGCCTGGATTTCCGTCTGGGTTACCGCCTGGGTTACAGCCTGGGTTACCGTCTGGCTTACAGCCTGGGTTACCGTCTGGGTTACCTCCTGGGTTACCGCCTGGGTTACAGCCTGGGTTACAGCCTGGATTTCCGTCTGGGTTACCGCCTGGGTTACCGTCTGGCTTACAGCCTGGGTTACCGTCTGGGTTACCGTCTGGGTTACCGTCTGGGTTACAGCCTGGATTTCCGTCTGGGTTACCGCCTGGGTTACAGCCTGGGTTACCGTCTGGGTTACAGCCTGGGTTACCGTCTGGGTTCCCGCCTGGGTTACAGCCTGGGTTACACCCTAGGTTAACGCCTGGGTTACCGTCTGTGTTACAGTCTGGGTTACAGTTTGGGTTACCGTCTGGCTTAAAGCCTGGATTTCCGTCTGGGTTCCCACCTGGGTTACAGTCTGGGTTACCGCCTGGGTTACAGCCTGGGTTACCGTCTGGGTTCCCGCCTGGGTTACAGTCTGGGTTACCGCCTTGGTTACCGCCTGGGTTACAGTCTGGGTTACCGCCTGGGTTACAGTCTGGGTTACCGCCTGGGTTACAGCCTGGGTTACCGCCTGGGTTACAGCCTGGGTTAAAGCCTGGGTTACAGCCTGGGTTACCGTCTGGGTTACCGTCTGGGTTACCGTCTGGGTTACCGTCTGTGTTACAGTCTGGGTTACCGTCTGGCTTACAGCCTGGGTTACAGTCTGGCTTACAGCCTGGGTTACCTTCTGGGTTCCCGCCTGGGTTACAGCCTGGGTTACCGTCTGGGTTACCGTCTGGGTTCCCGTATCTTGGGATACGATGACATGCATCTACTAAGTCAGCGAGCCTGACCACTCGATCCCATTAGTTACCTTTTAAGGAAAGAATGGGTTGCTAAAAAACCTATTCTATCCCGGATCTTCACGGGCTAGGGACATGTGAATGGGAATATGGCAACATGTGAAGAGGAATATGGGGACATGTGAAGGGGGATATAGGGACATGTGAAGGGAAATATAGGGACATGTGAAGGGAAAAATAGGAACGTGGACGTGTGAAGGGAAATGGCATTTGAAGGGGATTATAGCGACATGTAAAAGGGAATATAAGGACGTGTGAAGGGGAATATAGGAACATGAGAAGGGAATTATAGGGACATATGAAGGGGAATATAGGGACATGTGAAAGGGAATATCGAAAAGACTACAAAGTTTTCAGACTACCAAGGCATAATTGGTGAACATCAAGGAGGGTTTAAGAAAGATCATTCAACTATTGATAACATTTTCATTTTGCAAGCTATTATACAAAAGTATATCACTCGCAAAAAAAGAAAAGTATATTCCGCTTTTATTGATTTTCGAAAAGCATTTGATATGGTTGATAGGAGTAAGTTTATGTATATTTTATTGCAAAATGGTATTTATGGCAAGTTTTTATGTATTATCCAGAGTATGTATAATCATGTTAAAGCAAATGTAACATACGATTATGGCAAGAAAATTACTGAGTATTTTGATAGTTCATGTGGGGTAAGACAAGGTTGTACTCTTAGTCCAGTACTGTTTTCTTTGTTTATCAACGAATGAGTTATATGTTTGGAAAGTAAATTCCAGGATGGTGTTTATATCTCGGAGGAAAAGTAAAATATAATTGCCCTGTTGTTTGCCGACGATTTAGTACTTGTTGCAGACTGCATTAAAATTAGAAAAACGTCTTGATGAATTACATTTATACTGTGATAAATGGGGTGTGGATATTAATACTGAAAAGAGTAAAATTATTGTGTTTAAAATGGGAGGACCCTTGTAAATAAATGAGAGAAGGTATTATAACGGTGAACGTATGAATACGGTTAACACCTATAAATATTTGGGACTTGTTTTCACTCCCAAATTAATTTGGCATAAGGCCTGTAAAACTTTATGTGAGCAAGCAAGCAAAGCACTTTGGTCAGTTAAAATCGTTATAAAGACGTTATGACATTTTGGTTACAGAAGCATTCTTTATATTTGATAAAAAAAAGGTTCCGATATTAATGTATTGTGCTGAGATTTATGGATGCCAAAAATGGAATACGACTGAAATTGTTCACCGCAAATTTTGTAAATGTTTACTTCACACGGCTATTTTGCGAATGAGTCCAAACAGATACCCATACCAGTGTTATAAAATGTTAATATCTATTGCTGATAGAAACGTCCTAACTGGGCATCGCATATCAGACTTTTGCTAAGTCGTTATTGTTTTGGGGATGCATGGGCTGCACAAGGCGTTGGCAATGCAGAATTATTTGTACATATGTTCAGCGAAAGAGATAAAGATTGTTCATTTCAAGATTGGCATGCATCTCTAGGCAGCAAGACCCTCTCTTTCTATAAACTGCATAAATCTTATATCGTTTGTGAAAAATATTTATCAAATATTAAGCATTGTGAATATAGGAGGCTAATAACCAAATTTAGATGTGGACAGAATACTCTTGGTATTCAACTTATACGTAGGGGTGTTGCTAATATTGAGGAGGATGCCGTCTTATGTAAAAACTGTCATGTATTTTAGGATGAACTTCATGGTATATACAACTGGCCCCTTCATGCAAGTTGGCGGGCAATGTATATCCCAAAGACAGTTAATCATAATCATTTTTGTTTAGAAAGACTCTGTCATACGAACACATATGACCTGTGTTATATCAGCTCCACTGGTTACTGATCAACCAGAGAATTCAGTTCAAGATTCTGTCATTTCAGCTTTAAATGCAGACTGCTCACCAGTCTTCTGATTCAAATTCGTCAACCGCCAAGACAGTTACGATCAGCACAGGAACAGCGACTGGCCATGCCAGACACAAACCAAACACATTGGCTGAACGCTCTGTCTCTGTTGCCACCCCCAGTCCAGGAACTGTATACCACTCGAGCTGAAGCAAGGACATACTCTTGATACCTTCTGACGTCAACTTAAATCTTTTTCTCTTTACACTCATTGACTTTTCAGTGCCTGTATTTTCCATATCTTTCTGTAAGCGCCACCGTGTGCAGCTGGGAGGCTAGGCTATGCAGGTGCATTATTATATCACAGAACTGTAACAAGGCGCCAGCAAGTGTAGCGAGCGGTCTTCTACACCAAATCAGAATCCGTTGTTCAGAACGTGCAGTGAGATAGTTGTGTGTGGATGACATTGTGTCTTAAGATTTACAATTTATAAAATGTACATCCAAGCAGAAATTAAAATGATTTTATATATTTAGCCCTGTCTTATTTAACATGATGACTTATGCTGAATGTGACCACAAATATGTTGTTGCAGGTGACATTTGGTGGAGAATTAAGGCTGGTGTGTTTAGCTTCCTGTACTCGGAAATGGCGCTGGATGAGGTTGATAAACTTAGTGATTTTATTGCTGCTTTAAGGCCAGGTGTAAATGTACATGGACTAGCTGTGGAAAACTTGGTTAGTGCACTATTTATACATTTCACAAACTAAGCATTCGGAGTAGTCTCTCTTGTATATGTTTTACCTGCTCGGGATCAGGCGCAGGCCCATTGTAAAGTGAGTTCGTCTTTTCGTTATCACCAAGAAGTTGTTATTAAGACTAGTATATTAGTATGCAAAAGAATCCAGGGATAGAAAAGTTCCCCAGCATGAATCGGGTGGTCGGACTCGTCGGACTCGTGGTACATTGTCGTCGATTCCCCACAGGGATGCAATGTATGAAGCGCCCTGAGACTGGTGGAATATTGCAAGAAGAAGTGTCAAACCCAACTCACTCACTCACTCACCCTTCTCCGCTTTAATCTGTGCTTAACCCATTCCCCGCTCTACAAGTCAATATTCATCCCCTTCTCTGCTCTACAAGTCAAAACTCATCCCATTCTCCGTTCTACAAGTCAATACTCACCCCCTTCTCTGCTCTACAAGTCAATACTCATCTCCTTCTCCGCTCTACAAGTCAATACTCATCTCCTTCTCAGCTCTACAAGTCAATACCCATCTCCTTCTCAGCTCTACAAGTCAATACTCATCTCCTTCTCAGCTCTACAAGTCAATACTCACCCCCTTCTCCGCTCTACAAGTCAATACTCATCTCCTTCTCAGCTCTACAAGTCAATACTCATCTCCTTCTCCGCTCTACAAGTCAATACTCATCTCCTTCTCGGCTCTACAAGTCAATACTCATCCCCTTCTCGGCTCTACAAGTCAATACTCATCTCCTTCTCCGCTCTACAAGTCAATACTCACCCCCTTCTCCGCTCTACAAGTCAATACTCATCTCCTTCTCAGCTCTACAAGTCAATACTCATCTCCTTCTCCGCTCTACAAGTCAATACTCATATCCTTCTCGGCTCTACAAGTCAATACTCATCTCCTTCTCGGCTCTACAAGTCAATACTCATCTCCTTCTCGGCTCTACAAGTCAATACTCATCTCCTTCTCAGCTCTACAAGTCAATACTCATCTCCTTCTCAGCTCTACAAATCAATACTCATCTCCTTCTCGGCTCTACAAGTCAATAATCATCTCCTTCTCAACTCTACAAGTCAATACTCATTCCCTTCTCCGCTCTACAAATCGATACTCATCTCCTTCTCCGCTCTACAAGTCAATACTCATCTTCTTCTCAGGTCTACAAGTCAATACTCATCTCCTTCTCCGCTCTACAAGTCAATACTCATCCCCTTCTCGGCTCTACAAATCAATACTCATCTCCTTCTCAGCTCTACAAGTCAATACTCATTCCCTTCTCCGCTCTACAAATCGATACTCATCTCCTTCTCAGCTCTACAAGTCAATACTCATCCCCTTCTCCGCTCTACAAATCGATACTCACCCCCTTCTCAGCTCTACAAGTCAATACTCATCCCCTTCTCCACTCTACAAATCGATACTCATCTCCTTCTCAGCTCTACAAGTCAATACTCATCTCCTTCTCAGCTCTACAAGTCAATACTCATCTTCTTCTCAGGTCTACAAGTCAATACTCATCTCCTTCTCAGCTCTACAAGTCAATACTCATCCCCTTCTCGGCTCTACAAATCGATACTCATCTCCTTCTCAGCTCTACAAGTCAATACTCATTCCCTTCTCCGCTCTACAAATCGATACTCATCTCCTTCTCAGCTCTACAAGTCAATACTCATCCCCTTCTCCGCTCTACAAATCGATACTCACCCCCTTCTCAGCTCTACAAGTCAATACTCATCCCCTTCTCCACTCTACAAATCGATACTCATCTCCTTCTCAGCTCTACAAGTCAATACTCATCTCCTTCTCGGCTCTACAAGTCAATACTCATCCCCTTCTCCGCTCTACAAATCGATACTCATCTCCTTCTCGGCTCTACAAGTCAATACTCATCTCCTTCTCGGCTCTACAAGTCAATACTCATCCCCTTCTCCGCTCTACAAATCGATACTCATCTCCTTCTCAGCTCTACAAGTCAATACTCATCTCCTTCTCAGCTCTACAAGTCAATACTCATCTCCTTCTCGGCTCTACAAGTCAATAATCATCTCCTTCTTAGCTCTACAAGTCAATACTCATTCCCTTCTCCGCTCTACAAATCGATACTCATCTCCTTCTCAGCTCTACAAGTCAATACTCATCTCCTTCTCGGCTCTACAAGTCAATACTCATCTCCTTCTCGGCTCTACAAGTCAATACTCATCTCCTTCTCAGCTCTACAAGTCAATACTCATCTCCTTCTCCGCTCTACAAGTCAATACTCATCCCCTTCTCCGCTCTAAAAAACGATACTCATCCCCTAATTAGCTCTACAAGTCAATAATTCATCTCCTTCTCCGCTCTACAAGTCAATAATCATCTC